AGCATTGATTCATTTGAATGCCTAACAACCCAAATTGGACTCTTACTTTTTAAAAAATTTTTTATTTATTGAATCACCGTGAGAACAGCCACAAAGCTTTCCAGTTTAAGTCTTGGCCATACAATGATCAAACACCCATCCCTTCACCAGTGCACATTTTCCACCACCAAGAACCTCTGTATACTCCCCCCTTACACCTGCTGTGTGGCAGAAGATTTCCACTTTACTCTCTACTTTGATCACATTCAATATTACGACAAAAGACCCACCATTATTATTTGAAAATTTCCCCAACAATCAGACCTGCCAATAAGCCATCATTAGATCATTTGTTTTCTATTGCTGATTATGAAGAGCATATGATGTTGCACAGCATGACCGTGATTTTGTATTTCTGATATTTTAGTAATAAGTCTGGAGGGATTTCTGCCAAAAGCCGCTGGGTTCTGAGATTGGTTTGTGTGGCTCTGGGATCATGACCGTTCAGGAGCCGGAAGACACATTTGTGGGCGGCAACTCGGGGCCTCGTCAGGACCATCAGGGCCAGTTCCACCCCCCTTCCAATGAGGCCCGGTGTGCCTTGTCACTGCAGTCTCATACCTGCCTGTCCATTAGGCTCTGAAAGATGTCGGCCACCATGCTGCTGCCCCCAGGGGGAAAAGGTGGAAGGACAAACACCCTTCCCCTCCCGGGGAGGCATGGCACTGTAATTTATTTATTTATTTATTTATTTTTTGTGAGACATCATGAGGTACAGTTGCAGACTTACAAATTTTTGTGCTTGGGTTTCAATTATACAATGCTCAAATACCCATCCCTCCACCAGTGCCCATTTCCCACCACAACGGATCCTAGTATCCCTCCAACCCCCCATCCCCCCATCCCACCCTGCCTCTGTGGCAGGGCATTCCCTTTTGTTCTCTCTCTCTTATTGGGTGTTGTGGTTTGCAAAAGAGACAATGGGTGACAATCATGTTTGGTCTATAGTCTACTTTCAGCATGCTTCTCCCATCCTGGGAGGATCCTCCCAACACCTTTATTTGGTGTTCCCTTCTCTATCTGAGCTCCCTTTTCCCCTACCATGTGTGGTTGGCCTCCAAGTCATGGAGTAAAACTCCTGGTACTTATCTCAGCCACTTTTGGGTGTTAGTCTCCTATTTTGTTACTTTATGTTCCCCAGATGAATGTAATCTTTCTATGTCTATCCCTTTCTTTCTGAGTCATTTTGCTTAACATGATACTTTCCCTGTAGTACCACTTGTATGTAAATTTTATGACTTCATCTTTTCTAACAGCTACATAGTACTCCATTGTGTAAATGTACCAAAGTTTCTTTAACCAGTCATCTGTTCTTGGGCACTCTAGTTTTTTCCAGATTCTGGCTATTGTAAAGAATGCTGCAATGAACAAACAATTGCAGATGTCACTTTGACTATACTTATTTGCCTCTCTGGAATGTATTCCCAGGAGTGATATTACTGGGACAAACGGGAGCTCAATTTCTAATTTTTTGAGAATCGTCCATACTGTTTTCCAAAAGGGCTGAATCAGTCGGCATTCTCACCAACAGTGAAGGAGGGTCCCTTTCTCACCACATCCGCGCCAGCACCGGTTGCTTTTGTTCTTGTGGATATGGGCCAGTCTCTGTGGTGTATGGCACTGTAATTTAATGCACAGTCAAGATGCATTTCTGTTGGGCATTATATTTTGCTCGAATTTTCCCACCACCATTCAAGCCTGCCCTCCAGGTACAGACACTAAATCATTTTCTTTCCATTGCTCACTTTGCATATCAGGAAAGGTTTGGAAGAATAGTCCTGGTTTCCACATACTGGAGCCATGCTTGTAGAAGCTCATGGTTCCTGGGATTTCATCTGGTGAAGGCGGGGAGACTGCACCTGCTCCATCTGGGACCTCCCAGCGATATAGGCTCAGTATGGGGCCTGGAGAATTCTTTGCATGTTGTGGTGCCTGCCGGCCAGGATTCTTCACTGCTGTGTCTGACGCTTATATTTGAATAGATGTGGCTCATTGCCAAAGTTTCTATCTTCATCGCCTATGCACCAACATCCAACTACAACAAAGAAATTGAGAAGTTCTACATGGAGCTGGAGAAGTTCTATAAAGAAGACCACACCTTCTACAAGATCATTGTCAGTGATTTTAAGACCAAGATAGGACCAAGAAAATCAGCCGAAGAACTCCATATTGAGACCCATGGCCTAGAATGGAACGAACAGGGTGAGAGACTGTCTGAGTTTATCATGTTGACCAAGACCAATCATGGTAACTCACGATTCCAGAAGGCCAAATCTAAACGTTGGACATGTGAGTCTCCTGGTGGATGGTTCCACAATGAAATTGACTACATCATATTCAATCATCAGTTTTGCCTGACCAATGTTGCTGTTGTCCCAAAATTCCAAATGGAATTGGGCCACCATCTCCTTCATGCAAAATTCTATTTCACGAAGTGAGGAGAAAGGGCTGCAAAGTTTAAGAAGAGAACTCCCAGAACGATCACCAACTGGGAGCTCTTTGACACTATTGTGGCAACATGGGAAGATGCCATCATTGACAACATCAACAAGAAATACGATCAAGTGGTTCAGCACCTCCATGATCGTGTGAGGAACACAGAGAGAGAAAGCCACAAAAAGACACCTGTGTTTGGAAACTCTCGAGCTCATTCGCCAATGTGGTTTGGCATGAGCCTCAGGCAATCACAGGCTAACATCCGAGTTTGCAAAGCTGTGCAGAGAAGCAATAAAGAAAGACCTCAAAGAAAGAAGAGCAGCAGTGCTGGCAGAAGCCGGCCACCTGTCTTTCACCAACTATAAGACCAAGATGACTGCCCTCTGACATCCTGATGGATCTCTCACATCTTCCAGAAGGGCGATAGAGAAGATTATCCATGACTTCTACTCGGATCTCTTCGATAGCCACATCCACCTGCCTGCATTCCAAATTTCGCAGGATGGATATGTCATTCCCAGCATTCTTTCTTCGACATGCCATTATGACATGCCATTTTGAAATATGACATGCCATTTTGTCAGTAAAGAAGCGAACAGTGCCTGGCCCAGACAAGGTCAGACCCGAACACCTGAAGAATCTGCTGCTAGTACTCGTCAATACACTGGCTTGGCTCTTCACATACTACCTGCCCGAATGCAAGGTTCCATCCCAATGGAAAAACAGCAGGACCGTTCTGTTGTACAAGAAGGGAGACATCCATGATATCGGCAACTATCGCCCGATCTGCCTGTTGTCCGTCGTCTACAAGTTATTCACTTGACTCATCCTGAATAGTATCAGCAGAACACTAGATGAAGGACAACTGTACGAGCAAGCTGGATTCCGAAAGGATATGGCGCAATAGACCATATCCACTCGGTGACCAAGCTCATTGAGGTTTTGCGAGAGTTCAAGATGCCGCTCTGTCTCATGTTCATCGATTTAAAGAAGACCTTTGATTCTGTTGAGACTTCAGTGGTCATCGAAGCCCTAGCTAATCAGGACATTGAAACTCAGTACATCAGGATCTTCCATGAGCTGTATTACAGATTCACCACCAGGATCTCACCATTCTACAAGGAAGTGATCATCGATATAAAGAGAAGGGTTCGGCATGGCAATACCATTTCACTTAAACTCTTCAGTTCCACCCTCAGGAATGTCATGCGATGACTGGAATGGGAAGAAATGGGAGCAAAGATAGACAGACGGCAACTACATCACCTACGTTTTGCTGATGACATTGTTCTAATAACACCAAACATTAGACAAGCAGCACAAATGCTGGCCGACTTCGACCGTGAGTGTGGAAAGGTTGGACTACAGCTGAATCTCAACAAGACAATGTTTATGAAAAATGAACTAGTCCCTGACGTTCCATTTGCTTTCAATGAAATGAACATCTTCGAATGCAGCAGCTATGTGTACCTGGGTCGAGAACTCAACATGAGGAACGACTTGGTGCCAGAACTGTGCAGGACTAAGAGAGTGGTGTGGAGCACCTTCAAGAGCAGAGAAGAAGTTGTTAAGAGGGTGAAGAACCTCTGGCGCCAGGCACATCTTTTCGATCGAACCGTTCTTCCTGCATTAACACATGCCTCAGAAACCTAGGCCCTAAGAAAACAGGATAAGAATGCTATTCAGGTCTCCCAAAGAGGAATCGAAGGAGCTATGCTCAGAATATCATATTTGATGCAAGTGAGAGAAGGAATTTGGAGTTCCGACCTCTGTCGATTATTGAGAATCAGGGACGCTCTCTTGTTTGCCAAGCCATCAAAAATCAGATGGGCCAGACACGTAAGGCGATCCAGAGATGATCACTGGACTAGAGCTGTTACCAGCTGGATTCCATGAAATGTCAAAAGGACACCTGACCTCCCACTTATGAGATGGGGAGACTTCGTCCAGACCCCGAACGAATGGTTTTGAGGCTCTTTGTGTTCCTGGAGCAAGCAGATGCCACTGGGCTACACTAGCTCATGATAGGGATGAATGAAGATGTTACCGATACCCGCTCGAGCAAATCAATGAGCAACGAGATGACAAGTGATAGCATTGTGATCTTAAAAAATTTTGATATGATTTCAATCTTCATAATTTTGTTTAAAAACAGGATCTATTTGGATGGGGTGGTTTTCATTGCTGGGTAGCAGGGACTCCAGGGCAACTCTGAGGTTCTTAAGAGTTCAGTGCCTGTCGTTTGTTCAAAATCACAGCTATCTGGCACGAGCCGGTTTTCAGCCACCACATCTTCAAACTCATCTGCATCAAGCTCTGTAAATCCATGGAGATGTGGCTCTCCTGATGCAAAGTCTCAATCACATGCACCTTACTCTGCAGTTTGATTGGGTTGGACATGATGGAAAATGTTCACCTTGGCTATCGTGCCTTAGGACATTCCAAAGCTCTCCCAGAGCACGTACCTGTTCGGAAACTGAGATCAGGGCCAGCATGAGAATGGATAGGAATGCCCAGAAGCGAAGGATTGTCTTTAAGGTCTCTTTGATCAGTCCATACAAACCACAGGCTGCTGACAATAGTGAGGAGGCTTCTTGTTTGCAACCACTGCAAGGCGAGTCCCAGAGGCCAGTGAGCATGGTCAGCTCAACGGGCTTCATGTTCAGGACTTTACTGATGCTTGCTTAGTGTTCCCTCTTGTGGGATACCCAGGGGAATGTTTCTTGCTTACTGGAAGAATGTATATTTGACTTTTGGGAAATGGAGAGCCCTGGAAATATTTATTAAATCCAGTTCTTCCAACACCTCTTTAAGTTTGTTGTTTTCTTGTTGATTGTCAGTCTGGTTGTCTATCCACTCATTTAAGTCTGTACTAAAATCTCCTACAGGGCATTCCCTTTTGTTCTCTCTCTCATTTGGCTGCCACAGAGGCAGGGTGGGATGGGGGGGGGACGGAAGGGAGGGATACTGGGATCAGTGGTGGTGGGAAATGGGCACTGGTGGAGGGATGGGTACTCGATCATTGTATAATTGAAACCCAAGCACAAAAATTTGTAAGTCTACAACTGTACCTCATAGTGTTTCACTAAAAAAAAAAAAAAAAGAAATCGAACCCAAATCAGTCATATGCATCACAGCATCCTGCCCACTGTATTATCTCTCCAGCCCCTCTCCCAATAAACTTATTATTAAAAAAAATAAAGTCTCCCATAATAGGAGTACAGCAGGCTGGGTGCTTGCCTTGCTCACAGCCAACCTGGAATCGATGCCCTGCACCCCATATGGTCCCCTGAGCATTGCTGTCCTGTTATTCACATGTCACATGAAGCATTGCTTCACAGTTATCAGTAGCTTTTTTTTTTTAGAATTTTGATATCCCTTTATTTATTTCTTTGCTTCGTGGAGGGTTTTTTTTTTTCTTTTTGGGTCACACCCAGCCATGATCAGGGGTACTCCTGGCTCTGCACTCAGGAATACAATACTCCAGAAGGTGCTGTTACTTTATTTAGTGTGTGTGCGTGTTAATGAGTTTTAAGTTCTCTTAGTCTATTTATCTATTCATTATTATATAATACTAATTCTTACCTTTTATTATCTTTTTTAGTTTGAAATCGGGCTGGAGCGATAGCACAGCGGGTAAGGCGTTTACCTTGCAAGAGGCCAACATGGCCGACCCGAGTTCGATTCCTCCGCCCTTCTCGGAGAGCCCAGCAAGTTACCAAGAGTATCTCGCCCACATGGCAAATCTGGCAAGCTCCCCCTGACCTATTCGATATGCCAAACAGTAACAATTGTCACAATGAAGACGTTACTGGGCCCGCTCGAGCAAATCGATGAACAACGGGAGGACAGTGTCAGTGACAGTTTGAAATCAGTTTTATCTGATACTAGTAACCTTGCCTTTTTGCTACTCTTTGCCAATATTACTGTTTTCCAACCTGCAAGTGAGTCTCTTGCAGACAGAAGGCTGCATTTTGTTTCCTGATGCATTCAGCCACCTGTTGCATTTTGATTAGCAACTTCAGGTCATTGATATTTAGTGAAATTATTGAAATAAAGAAATGTAGCTTTTGGAGGGTTGGCTCAATAAACTAAGTGCTAAATAAACTCAATGCTTTGACTATGAAAAGCCCAGGTTTGATTCCTAAGACCACCTGGTCCCCGAGGACTGCCGGAGTTAACCCCCACGCACAAAGCTAAAAGCAAGGCCCAAGCAGCATTTAGGGTGCCCCCTGCAAAGCAACTACAAAAAAGAAATATATTGCCATTTTTCTAAATGGGTTTGGGTGTTTCTGTAGTTTGTCTTTTCTTCTCTAGTCTTTCACTCTCTGCCCTAGACTTTGCTGTTGTCCTTTTATGTAGTGGTCAACTCCATTTGCACCTTCTAGTTTCTCTTATGACTTGAACTTACCATTAGGTTTACATCTTAAGTTCATAATTTAAATTCCATTTTAAATTTAAAACAAATAGAGTTTCACGTTCATTCTAGGAAAGCACACTATTACTCTTCTATCCCATATTTCATATTTCTAAAGTACCTTACTACTTCTGAGTGGAATTTCTTAGCCTGTTTTAGAAGACCATGAGAGAGTTCCTGAAGAGCCAGTTCAATGGTCATAAATCCTTTTGCCATTTGCTTTTCTGAAAGCTGTTTATCATTTCTTTTCAGAAATGATAAATGATAAATGATAAATGTGTATTCTTGGTTTGATATCGCTTTTATTTAGCACTTTATCTATTGTATTTGTTATGTTTTTGGCTCTGTACTCAGGGATCACTCCTGGTGGGGTTCAGGGGACCACATGAAGTACTGGGGATTGTACCCAGATAGGATAGAAATGCTGTACCTGCTCTACTGTTACTTTGGCCCCGCTCTTCAACAAAGAATTCTTCCGAGAGATAGAGGAGAGAGAGAGAGAGAGAGAGAGAGAGAGAGAGAGAGAGAGAGAGAAAAGCCTCCCATAGAGGCAGGTGGAAAGGGGGAGCAGCAGGGAAACTGGGACCATTGGTGGGGGGAACTATACACTGATGAAAGGACAGGTGTTGGCACATTGTATGACTGAAACCCAATCATGAGCAACTTTGTAACTGTGTATATCACTGTTATTCAATTAAAAAAATTTTTTTTTTTTTGCTTTTTGGGTAACACCCGGCTTTGCACAGGAGTTACTCCTGGCTCTGCACTCAGGAGTTACTCCTGGCGGTGCTCAGGGGACCATATGGGATGCTGGGAATCGAACCCGGGTCGGCCGCATGCAAGGCAAATGCCCTACCCGCTGTGCTATCTCTCCAGCCCTCAATTAAAAAATTTTTAAATGAAATAAAAAATTTTAAAAAGAATTCTTATTCTTTCGTTTTTTCTTATTTTGGAACCCTATAATACAAACATTGTTCCCCTTATTGCTATTGCATAAATCTCTTAAGTTATCTTAAATTTTTAAAACTTTGTGGTATTTTTCCTGTTCTTTTGGCAGGGGGCGGGGCTGGATCACAGAAGGCAGTGCTCAGGGCTTACTCCTGGCTTTGCATACTGGGATCACACCTGGCAGTGCTCAAAGAACTACCATGTGGGGTGCTGGGGATTGAACCTGGGTCAGCCATGTGCAAGACAAATGCCCTCCCCTTGCACTCCTCCTGCACTATTGTTCCGGCCCTCTTTCCCTAGTCCTTGAGCTCACTGATACAGTCATAGTATTCTGTAATTCTGCTGCTTAGTTCCTCTATTGTGGTTTTTAGACAATTACTTTATTCCTTCCTTGTGGGGACAAAGCTGATGGTGTTCAGGGGACCATGCCACATCTCACCAAGCGCGCACATGTCCAAGCCCTTTGCGTCATCTCTCCAGCCCCCGCCACTGTCTTCTTTAGTTCAATCATTTCTGTTTGGATTTTACTCATGCTTCTCTATCCTTGTTAAATTTCTCTTCCATAGATTGCCTAATTTCAGTGGACACCATTAAGATTATTGCTTTGAAAACTTCATCAGGGAGTTTGGAAAAGATCTTGCAGTTCTCAGGCTTTACTTTTTTTTTTTTTTTTTTTTTTTTTTTGCTTTTTGGGTCACACCTGGCCATGCTCAGGGGTTACTCCTCGCTCTGTACTCAGGAATCACTCCTGACTGCTTGGGGGACCATGTGGGATGCGGGGATTGAACCCAGGTCAATTGCGTGCAAGGCAAATGCCCTCCCCACTGTACTATCACTCCATCCCTCAGGCTCTACTTTTTATTCATCAAGATAGATGAATTCCTCCTCTGATTTAGTCTGTGTGGTGGTAGGCAGGAGGCTTAGAGATCCTTTCCCAATTGCAGTTTAGCGTTGTGTGCTCTTTCTTGGTGAGGGCATCCCTCCCTCCACTCTGGGAGTTCTCCTGCTACCCTTGTGTGCCAGGATTTCAGGCACATGTTCCCCACTCCATCTCACTGCAGGGCTTCCTGCATTCAGCCAGGTCGAAGGAGGCTGCAGCTGAAGCATGGGGCTGCCTGGCTGTGCACTGCTGATTGTAGCCTGGTGTTCTTTAGTACCAGCTGGAGAAGGGGCCTTCTCTTCGAACTTTTTGGGGGCTCTCCTTTTACCTTTTGCTTTTCAGAGTCCTGAGGACATTTTGTGATTGGTTCAATGTTTGGTGTAGACTCAGAAGTGAATGCAGGAGGGTATAAATACAGGTTCTCGGGGGTATGGTGCCACCAGCAGGTCAATCTGTACCTGTGAGGCGAGTGCATCAGCAGCCTGATGTCACAGTCAGACTTTCAGATACCCCAAAATTGCTGCTGCGCCTTTGGCCAGACCCCAAAAACTTGGGGCAAAGTTTACCAAGAAAGTAAATGGCCAAAAGTTAGGTATGTGGGAGCCACACCCACAAACCACCACTGGCTCAGCTATATAATTGTGGGCAAGAACTCTCTGGTTCCTGATCGAACTGCTTAATGGCCATGATCCCAGAGACCCAGAAACGAATTTCGGAACCCAAAGGCTTTTGGCAGAAATGTGTCCTGTTCCTGCAGTAGGTTACTTGCTCTGGGCCACTCCAGGTGGAAATAGGTTTCGTGCCTTGGCCTGTTTCCCCTGGCGGTCCGGTGACTGCCATCCTCCAGAGGCCACAGGACAGATAGGTTTGGGCCTGCAGTGACAAGACACATGGGGCCTCACTAGATGGGGGTGGAACCGGCCCTTTCCTCCCCATCCCAAAGAGACCCCAAGTCTCTGGCTCCTGACCAAGCAGATTAATGGCCATGATCCCAGAGACTCAGAAACAAATCTCAAAACCCAGCGGCTTATGGCAGAAATGCATCTGGACCGCATACAAGGTGGCCGCCGACTCAGAGCTTATTAGAAAGCCAGGTATGAGCAAGCAGTGACAGGGCAACTGCAGTCTCATGGGAAGGGGGGCAGTACTGGCTCATCCTTTACGCCCTACTGAGGTCATGAGTTGCCCCCCACAAGTGGCTCTCCAGCACAGCCATAACACCAGATGCACAGAAACCAATCTCATAATTATCTGGCTTTTTGCAGAAATCCAGAATCATTATATGACATTATATGATTCTCATACCAGCTATAGAAAACAAAGTATTTCACAATGCCTTTTCAGCAATTCTGATTGTTGGGGGGAAAATTCTAAACAATAATGGTGCATCTTTTGTTGAAATAATGAATGTAATCAATATAGAGAAGAGTTAAGTAGAAATCATCTGCCTCACAGGCATTGGGGGGAGGGGGGCATATTGGGGTTCTTGGTGGTGAATAATGAGTACTGGTGAAGGGAAAGATGTTTGATCATTGTATGACCGAGACTTAAACCTGAAAGCTTTATAACTTTTCCCACAGTGATTCAATAAATAAATATAAGAAGAAAAATAAATAAATAAAATTATGGGAAAAAAGTAAGGTGGAGTTCATGCCCAATTCAATCAGCTAATCAGTGGCTGAATAAATAGCAATACTCCTACATAAAAAAATAAAAATAAATAAATAAATAAATAAATACAGGTTCTCCCTACTGGGCCATCTTGGCCCTGTCTTGACAAATCCTTTTATCACTATTACTATCACCCCATTGTTCATTTATTTGCTCAAGCGGGCGCCAGTAACGTTTCCATCCGTCCCTGTTATGTGCTAGTAAAGCACGATGGCACATTGGGGACTCTTTCAGGGTCAGGGGAATGAGGACCATCATTGTTACTGTTGTTAGCATATCGAGTACGCCATGGGTAGCTTGCCAGGCTCTGCCGTGCAGGCGGGATACACTCAATACCTTGCCAGGCTCTCCAAGAGGAATTGAGGCTTTTGGTGCAGCCTCTAATCACCTTTACAAGTGTTCCCAGTCAGGCATATATATGCAGGCAGGATACTCTCAGTAGCCTGCCGGTTTCTCTAAGAGGGAGAACTAGGAAATAAGAGGTCACATGGCCGCTAATGCAGCCACAAGCTTTCGGGAGCTTGGTTTTATAGTCTCTGGATCCTGGTCGTTGATGGGGTTACATGGCAGTTGGTGGGTGTAACTGTCTAGCTACTGAAAGATGGGGGATCTGGGTGGAGGAGGCCCAGTCCCGAACCCAGCAGGCTTGGAGATCTCAGACCCGGGTCCCGCACACCTGGGCTCCTCTGTTGGTTCCTTCATGCGTGAGGCTCATTCAAGCATGTGGATAGTGGTCTCAGCATATCTATGGCTGGGTCTCGGAGGTCTTCAGCTGTTGGGGCTCTGCTTAGGGCGGAGAGGGAAACTCAACCCACCCTCCTTCAAGGGGCCCTGGTGAGGACAGCCAGGTGCAGGGGCAGGAGACTCTGCATTGTTCTCTAAACATATCACGATCACGATCATGACCATCCTGTTATTCGTCGATTGCCTCGAGCAGGCCCCAGTAACGTCTCCTTCATCCTAGCCCTGAGATTTTTAAGAAAGTGCTATATTCAAGGCTCTTTAGGAGAAAGAGACCCATCATTGTTACTGGTATTTGGCATATTGGGTACGCCACGGGGAGTTTGCCAGATTCTACCGTGTGGGCAGGTTACATCCGGTAGCCTGCCAGTTTGTCCAAAGTAGGAATGAGATAATAAGATGTCATAATAAGATGTTGTGCAGCCGCGAATGCAGCCACGCGGTTCCGGGAGCTGGTTTTTATAGTCTCTGAGTCTTGGCCGTTGACGGGATTACACGGCGTCAGGGGGCCAGTTGGTGGGTGTGACCCCCGCCTACTGGAATTCAGAGTATCTGGGTGGAGGACGCTCAGCCCGGATCAGAGTAGGCTTGGAGATCTCAGCCCCGGGACCCGCTTGCCTTTGTTCCTCTGCCGGTACCTTCAGGTGTGCGGAGAGTGGTCTCAGCATGGTGGTGGCTGATCCTGGAGGTCTTCAGCTGCCTCGGGCTCCTGGTCGGAGAGGAAAGCTCAACCTGCTCCCTTCCAAGGGGCCCCGGCAAGGACAGCCAGGTGCGGAAGCAGGAGACTGCACTGTTCTCTTTATACTAAACATATAAATTTAGTATAAATTCTTTTATGCTAAACAGAAATTACAGCACACACACTTTGATATAAGCCTCATCAATCAGCTCATATAAGAATGAGTTCAAATTGGGTCAGAGAGATAGTATAGCAGTCAGGCGCTTCCTTTGTACATAGCTGACCTGGGTTCCATCCTGGGTAGCCCATAGGGGCCCCCAAGCACTGCCAGGAGTGACCCCTGGGCAGAAGTGAGGAGTAAGCCCTAAATCCTGTTTTTCGAGAGGAAAAAGAAGTTCAAACTCCCCTCCCCCCAAAAAACTCCATGTTCTCCAGGTACCTCCCCTGCCAAGAAAACAATGATGGCAATGTTAGTGAAGACAGTTAATAAGCAAAGCACAGCAGTACAAAGATCAGAAGGAGTGGTTTGGGAGAAAGGGCAGCGAAATATCACCGAGGTATCCCACCCCAATATCCCCCAGTGATGCCTCTGGAAAGGGTTGAAATAAGGCAATCAATGCAAGAGAACTTTAACAAGGATAGAGAAAGTACCAAGAAAAGACCAACCCGAAATTGTTGAGTTAAAAAAGACAGTAGCTGGGGCTGGGAAGATAGCTCAGAGGGCTGGAACGCATGCATGCTTTGCCTGTAGGAGCCCCGAGTTCCAGCCCTGGCTGACCCGGTCCCCGGAGCACCACCTAGTTTGCTCTAACAAAGAAGGAATACAGTAGTTGAATGAAAAAACAAAACAAAACAAGACAACAGAAGGGCGGAAAGGCAGAATGACAGATGGTAAAAATTAAACCAGTGAGTTCGAGGACCAGGGAAAGGAAACTATCAACAAAGAACAGAAAATAAACTTTAAAAAAATTAGGTAACAGATTCATGCGATAGCATAAGGAGGAAGAAGGCTGAAATAAAATGCCCTAGCATCCGGGCCAGCTCCGGGCCTCGGCCCTTTGTCTAGGCGACCGCCTGGTATGGACGGACTCCCCCACTCCCACGCCCCCTCCTCCGCCCTCGAGCCCCCGCTCCCCGCGAGGCCACCGTGCGCGCTCGGCTCTCGACTGCTCGCGCCTGGCGCTCCCGGCCGGCTCTGCGCTCGAGCCGTCGGGCCTGGGGGCACAGAGGGCGGCGCGCGGCGGGGCCGGCGGCGGGCGCGGGGATGTCGAGGAGCTCCAAGGTGGTCCTGGGCCTGTCGGTGCTGCTGACCACGGCCACGGTGGCCGGCGTGCACCTGAAGCAGCGGCTGGATCAGCAGGTCGGCGCACTGTCCGCGCGCTGCCGGGGGAGCGGGCGGGGGTGACCCTCGGGTGGCCCAGCCGCGCTGGGTTGTTGGGGTCGTAGGAAGAGTGTCCCCTCCGGCCCCCTGCGGCTCCGGTCGCCTCCCCTAGCGGGGTGCGGGGTGAGACCGTGCACGTGCGGGGTGGGACCGTGCCCGGGGTGCGGGGTGGGACCGTGCACGTGCGGGGTGGGACCTTGCGCGTGCGGGGGGCCGGCACCGCCGAGCGCGCCCCCAGCCCAGCCACTGTGGGTGCTGCCGTGGTCCTCGGGGAGAGTCCGCCCGGGCTGGGAGTGACCGAGGCGCGGCCACCGGCCCCAGTTTCCTCCTTCCGAGCCTTCGCTTCCGGAAGTGCCCGGGATTCGCCTCTTCTGGCTCCCGGGCGAATAGTTTCTGGACTGAAATTGACCAACGTTTAGCGACTCTGTGCTGGACGCTCGGCAGTTTGGGGATCCGAGCTGCGGAAGCGCGTCCCCCTTCTGGGTCGGAAAGGCGAATGACCGCCGGCCCTGCCCCCCGGGGCGAGAGTGGACAGCGCTGGGGGACGGCGCGTGGGCCGGCGGGCGGGGCGGGGTGCGCCGGGTGGGATTGGGAGGGCGCGGCAGGGAACAGAGAGGAGCTTCGGAGGTCTTTGTCCTCGGTGGCCGAGAGGAAGAGGGAAAATGTGTGGTATAGGAATTTTGGCAAGGGGAAGTTGCCGTCATGCCTTTAAGTGTTTTTATTTTAATGCCCGCTGGCCATCATCCTTTAAAAATCTTTTTATTAAGGCATCGTTATGCATTAAAATTCAGTTTTCAATTATTAAACAGTTACATATTAAACCATAGTTTTGTTTCATGCATACATTGTTTCAGCACCAGTTCTACCACCGGTGTCTGCTTACTTATCTGCACCAGTAATTGGCTCTTCAGGTTCCTCCCAGCCCGCCTCGCTGACACATTTTTAAGTTTGGTTATTGTAGCATGAGTCTCATGCTTGCAGTGTTGTTCACTCAGTAGTTTAGGATATGTACCTGTAGCACATTTCTAAACCACCTCTGTGCAGGATGCCCCCCCGACCCCTGCCTGCTCCATTTTTTCTATTATGTAGGGTAGAGGTAATCTAGGTATCAGTGGAAGTTTATTTGACAGAATGGGGAGACTATCGGTGATGACAGAAGGTCAGGGAAGAGATTGGAATTGGGGATCAAGCCACTGGTTTTAAGGAGGTAACTTTTGGATCAGGGGCCTGTATCCCTGTCTATGGAAGGAGATGAAAAATAAGGTGATCCAGAAAAACAATTGAGAGGAAATGGAGAATGGTGTATCAGATGGATATCGAAGAACTGGACTTTATTACTGTCATTTTGTTTTGTGTCATACCCAGTAGGACTCAAAGCTTCCCTCTGGCTCTGCGATCAGGGATTGCTTAGGGTTGTATGTGATGCTGGGGATAACACCCGGGCTTGGTCATGTGCAAGGCAAATACCTTGTATTTGCACTGGTAAATAGCACTGTACCCATGGCTGGGGTTTTTAAAGAGTTGGGGTAGGGATGGGATCTTGGTGGTGAAACTTACCTGCAGGTCTTGTTTTCTGGGGAGTCTTCACAGTGTGGGCACTAGTTTCCACCCTAGTATCAGAGTGTCCTGAGATGGCTCTTTGCCGTAGGCTTCTCAAAAGGCTTTTGAACCAGCAGCTGAGAATCACAGTTAGAAGGGAAGAGTGGAATAGAAAGATTTATGTATTTGAAGAAAGTTAGGAAGCAAACATTGCCAGAAATCTTTTATTACTACTATTTTGGGGGGATTGAGGACCACACCCAGGCAGTGCTCAGGACTCTCCACTCAGGGATCACTTCCGGTGGACTGTAGGAAGTTTTGGCAATTGAACCCAGGTCAGTCATATGCAAAGCAGGGCCCCCACTATCTGTCTAGCCTCCATTTGTTTTATTTTATCTTATCTTTTGTTTTTGGGGTTGGACCCATTGGTGCCCATGCTCAGTCACTGGAGAACGCATGTGTGGGTGGTACTGATGGAACTGCAGCATGTAAGCCAGGCACCATACCCTCTGCACTTTCTTTCTGGCCCGCTTGCATTATTTCACATCCAGTCATTGATGGTGGACTTAATAGAAATTAAGAGCAGGGGTAAGAGTAGGACAAATGCTCAGCACCGTGAATGTCTTGGAAGGTTCAAGGAAGCAAGAAGTAATAACTGTTATTTCTGATCATTTCTTGTTGAATGTTGTTGGCAAGGCAGATGTCAGAGTTACAAGAAAGATGTTGGCGAGGCAGGAGAGGTAGTACAGCGAGTAGTGTGCTTGCCTTGCTCATGGCTGACCCAGGTTCGGTCCTCAGCATCCCATATGGTCCCCTGAGCCTGCCAGGATCCCTGTGTGCAGAGCCAGAGTACCACCAAGTATGGCCCCCAGACAAATGATATTTAAGGTGATCATGATAGACTTGAACATTAGAGGAAGATAGCAAATGTGGAAAGTCTGCTGAAATTCGAGAAAGGGTGGATCTTCGGCAGATGTGGAAGGAATGATTCCAGATGTAGGATGGGGGTGGTGTAAGAATGTCCTGGTGCAGCATTTTTTTTGGCCTTTTTACATCATTCAGCTGGTACTTGTCTGCATATGGGGCAGTTATAACCACTGTGGCAAACCATTGATTTATGCCCTCTTACACCTGTGGACCTGTGCCTACAAACCACAGTCCTGGAGCACCGAGCATAGGATGGTGGAAATGGGGGAGGGAAAGCAAGAAGGTTGAGCACCTTCACATCTTTTATTGTTTCTTGTCTGTTTGGTTTTTATTTTTTGCCCGCGCACACAAAACAGGCTGCTCCTGGATCTGTGCTTGGGGACAGCTCCTAGGGGTGTCTCGGGACCTTGTGGTGCAGAGGATTAAGATGGGCCCCTGCATGCAAGCAAAGTGTGCACTCAGCCCACTAAGCTATATCTCGGGCCCCACACTTCCACTTCTGACCTTGGGATCTTGCCAGGTTGCTCAGGATTCAAGAAAGTTGTTTTTCAGTTTTCAGCCCCAGGACTCTTTAAATTCCTCGACTGCCCCTTAATAGCAAGTGAAGTTCTAAGTGGAGGAGATCCAGGAAGTGGGTACTTGGGGTAAATTTCTAATATAGGCATGATAGGGCCAGAGAGATAGTACAGCAGGTAGAGAGTGTTTGCCTTGCATGCAGTCGACAGACCCAGCATCCCATACTGTGTCCACTTCCTCCACTGTTGTCCGATACCTTAGTTGCAGCGTGTGTGTGTGTGTGTGTGTGTGTGTGTGTGTGTGTGTTGGGTCAAACCCAGCAGTGCTCAGGGCTTATCCTAGCTCTGCACTCAGGGATTATTCCTTGCAGGGATTAGGGGACCATATGGGGTGCCATGGATTGAACCTGGCTCAGTCACGTGTAAGGCAAACACCTTACCTGCTGTACTATCTCTCTGGCCCTCATACCCAGGTTTCTTAACCAGTAGACTTAAAAAAAAATTTAAGGCCCAGAATGATAGTATTATGGGTAGGGCATCTCTCTTGCATGTAGCTAACCCAGATTCACTCCCTGGCACCACATATGGTCCTGCAAGTACCACCAGGAGTGCTCCCTGAGCACCACAGGTCTGGCCCAACAACAGCAACAAAATGTTTTAAAGGTAATTTTGTTATGACTGTCTCAGTAAATGTTTGATTTGTGTATCTTTTATATATACCTGTCGTTGCCAGTTTAAGAAGCCTCTGTTCAATACTAAATGAAGAATTTCTTAAAGTATGGCAAGAATTCATTTTAATGATAACAGTATTAGCACACCATCATTAACTTGTTTCTTAATTATGTTTTACATTCATTTAGAAAATTAAAACAGTAATTGAATATTTGAAATCTTGAAAGTTTTATGTGAATTTTGTTAACACTTTTTTTGGGATTTGAATGGTACAAGAATGAAACCACCTGTTCATGGTGTTACTGAAATCTGTTTTTTACATTTTTAGAGACTTCATTACGGCGTGATCAGAGACATTGAGAGACAGAATCGGAAAAAAGAAAACATTCGTCTTTTGAGAGAGCAAATTACTTTAACTGAGCAACTTGAAGCAGAAAGAGAGAAGATGTCATTGACAAAGGGATCACAAAAAACATGACTTGAACAAGAGATGTTAGTGGAAGGACAGTGTCGAGTGTGTTTGTGTCTCTGTGTAGGTGGAGAATAGTTTAGTGAGGTAGATCTCCAGCCTTTTCTTGACGCCTTGCCCATATAAACTTGATTGAAAAAAAAAAAAAAGAGTAAGCGATGGATCACAGATTCTAAATTATTGCTTTGGGAGGAAGCCCTTAGAGTTGAGTCAAGAAGTCAGCAGAAATTCTGAAGAGTTTCTGTCTCTGTGATACTGGCCTGTTAGCTCCTGTAGCCTTTGGGCCAGCCCAGTAATTTAGGATTATTGCCGAAAAGCACTTCTTATCTAGCCCATAAGCAGAAAGGGATGGATAGTAATATCCATCTGAGTAGTCTGATAAGTCGGCACGATGATGAAGCCACGAGAACATCTACCTCAGAAGGACTGGAGGAGGGGGAGGTTGAGGGGGAGACTCTCCTGATTGTCGAGTCAGAAGACCAGGCATCTGTGGACTTATCTCATGATCAGAGTGGGGATTCCCTTAACAGCGATGAAGGTGATGTGTCGTGGTTGGAAGAGCAGCTGTCTTACTTCTGTGACAAGTGCCAGAAGTGGATTCCAGCCAGTAAGGAGCCTCTCAATTTCTTTGGTTTGTTTTTCTAACCTGTGAAACACGAATGTAAAAGAGACCTTAACCAAAGATAATCATATTAGTTTGGTGGATTGCTTATTTATTTCAGACAACACCTGTACTAATAGAAATACTGTCAACCTGTCACACTATTAAATGAATGTTCTCGGTTGGTCACTGACACTATCACTGTCCTCCCGTTGTTCATCAGTTTGCTCGAGTGGACCCGGTAACATCTCCATCATGAGACTTGTTACTGTGTTTGGCATGTTGAATACGCCACGGGTAGCTTGCCAGGCTTTGCCTTCGGTTGGTAACCCAATAAAAATCAGAAAATTGGAAATCTGTGTTAAAGACTTAGCTACATTTCTCTAGATCATGTTATAAGAGCATAAGATTATTATATCTCTAATAAGATCATGTGGGACTAAATAATTAAAGGCTAAGTTATAGGATGATCCTTCTAGTTCATAGTGACATGTAACCGTGATTGGATGTTTAAGTCAGACCAGAAGTAGCAGATGCGTAGTTTGTCCTCTTTTGTCTGGGTCATTTGTGTTTTCCTACTCACTCTCCTCCGTATTACACTAGCGAGTCTTGTGTCCACTCTGCCTCCACATCCTCCATCAGCTGCTCTGCTTCCTGCCTCTCGCAGGGTATCTGCCAGCCCGTACCACTCTTACCAAAACAGAACTCTTTGGTTGGCAGAAAGTCATATGCACATATGTATTTAAGGAATTCTTCATGTAATGGCACTTGTGAGTGGGTCAGATTTATGTACGTGGTGGAACAGGTCATTCTAGTCATTCTCTGGTTGGATGGAAATGTTTTTAAGATGGATTAGTAATTAACGATATTTTCACAGAAAACAAAACTTGAATGTACTACCTTTTAGCTAGTTCTTTGTTTCTGAGCTTTCACGTGGGTTCTAGAAAATCTTAATGATTTCCCCCCTAACCTCACAGGTTACATTTTAAATTGTCCTTTGTGATAGGATCATGTACCAACTTTATCCTCTGCCCTTGGTGTCCCTTTATCCCCACATAGAAACAGAACTTTGCAGTTAGGGTGAACTTGAACCATGCCCTCCATCCCCCCCCCCCCCCACAACCGGGGGCCCTTCTACCCACAATCCATTCTATGTAGGACTATAGAGATCTCTATAGTCTCCATAACAACACCCACCCCCAGCGCCTCTCTTTACCTGGCTAATTCCAGTGTCTGTCAAGTCCCCTGTAGACCTCCCACTTTTCCTGGCTCTCTTACTATAATTGGCCACCCTTGATTTTACTTTCAGTACCAAGGCTTGAAAACGTGGCTCCTGCCACCAAGCTCCATCCCAGGCCGTCACGTTGCTGCAGGTGGCTGCATAGCTTCCGAAAGTGCTTTGTGTTACCTAGGGAATAAGGCCCTGAAGACCACCACCCTTTGTCTGGAGGCAAAGTCACTGCTTGTGGGTAGACCTAGATGATAAAACCACTCTGGGTGCTTCCAATACTCTGAGGATGGAGAAAACACTGTACTTGAGTGACCTACCTGCATCCCCCACATGAGTAAGCTGCATAGCATTCACGAACTGCCGAGAACAGGCACTGCCTGTCTTGTGCGTTGTTTTGTGTTCCCAGTTCTTTCTTTCTTGGTTTTGGGGTCACACTTGGAGGTGCTCAGGTCTTACTCCTGGCTTTGCATTCAGGGAATCTCTCCTGGAGGACTCAGGGGGCCATATCCGGTACCAGGGATTGAACCCAGGTCATCTACATGCAAGGCAAGTGCCTTACCTGCTGTACAGTTCCATGTGTTCCCAGCTCTTATCCCAATGCCCGGCCCACAGTGCAAAATTGAATGTTTCCTGAAATACTGTAGCTAAACCTGCAGGAATCAGGAATGTTGGAAAATTCAGTATTTTTGTCCTAAAAGTTAGGAGATGACCTGTGATGTTGGCAGAATAAAAATCTCCACTTCTGTGAGAATGGGGGTGACTGAAAAAAAGGAAAACCAGCATGGAAAACAAAACATCAATAAACAGTGTAAGCCTTCCTCTGAGTTCTAACTGGTGTAGATAACATCTGTGATGTGCTTTTTTTGGTTTTTCTCCTAGGTCAGCTGAGGGAACAGCTCAGTTACCTTAAGGGTGATAACTTCTTTAGGTTTACTTGTTCTGATTGCTCAGAAGATGGGAAGGAGCAGTATGAAAGGTTGAAGCTGACATGGCAGCAAGTAAGTAAAAAGTGACTTAGAATTCTAAAAGGTTGGCCCCTGAAGGAATTCACTGGATTAAATAGAGAATGAGTCAGGAATGTAAGCTTTTTTAGGGCCACTTTGTATTTTCACAATGAAAATGATACATAGAGTATGTTACAACTTAGATATAAAGGCATTCATGATAAAAAAAAAAAACCTCAGTGCTGGGTTAATGAATCAGGCTTGGTAATTTTGAAAATCTTAACACAGTTTTATTAATTTGTTTTTTAAAATTTTTTTTTATTTTAATGAATCACTGTGATATAGCTACAGACTTACAAACTTTCATGATTGTGTTTCCGTCAAACAGTGTTCAAATACCCATCCCTCCACCAGTGCCCATTCTCCACCACCAATGTTTCCAATATCCCTCTCCCTACCTTCAACGTTTATGTATAATTTTAAAATGATTTTAATTGGAAATGAGGTTCACATTTTTCTGGTAGTCACAGTTTAGAAGGGTAAAAAAGCAGTTTAAAAAATGCAATGATGGCTACCCTAGGAAATAGATTTGTTTTGTTTTGGGGCCACACCTGGTGATACCCAAGGCTTACCCCTGGCTCTGTGCTCAGGGATCACTCTTGGCAGGCTTAGAGGACCATATAGGGTTCTGGGGGCTGAACTCTGACCTCGTGCAAGGCAAGCGCCTTACCCTCTGTACCATAACTCTGGCCCTGGAAATGGATTTTGAAGCCCTAATGTGGCTGATTGCAGAAGGGGAGTACCAAGGTCCTCAGGGACCTCCAGAGCTGCCCCTGTGATTCTGGGAGAACCATGTGCTACCTGGGATCAAACTGGAGTTGGCTATGTGTAAGACATGTGCCTACTTAACCCCTTGTACTCTCTCTTCATCCTCCTTATGTTCTCTTTACTTGCTAAATTTGATACTTGGACCACATCAGAGGTGCTGGGGCTTGACCCAGGATCAGCCACATGTAAGGCAAGTGCTTTAATCCCTCTACTATTTCTCTGTTCCCTCTAATGTTGATTGTAAAAACTCTCCAAACTCTCTCCACTCTGGCCTAAGCTTACTATAGGCTCAACGTAATAGCTTTATGCTGATCTACTGGTTATATCTTTTTGATTGTGTTTTTATATTAATATGTCTACAGGGCACTGGAGTATACAGTCTTTATGTTCTAAAGACAAATGGTGTAGACATTACTCATGTTTTTGTTTATCTGCTCTGGCAGTGCTCAGACTCTGCACCAGCTCTATGAAAATACAAACACCATGCTTTTCAGGTGATCCTTAAGATGCTTGTGAAGTACCAACCTGCTGTTGCTGTCCTCAGACCCCCCACTCAGAGTTTTTGTTTCAGCAAAATTAGTGTAGCCTGGTGATGAATGGGACAGCCAGGCTAACCGCTCCAGGCTGACCTTCTGGATTTTATTTAGACAGTAAAGAGGTAAATAAGTTAATTAACCAGAGCACTTTTTGCTATGAAGGAATTAAACAGTATTGAGAAATAGATTTCCAGAATATGCAGTCTAAATCACTAAAATGTTCCTTGTAAATTGTAGTTGTAGCCTTAGTCTATTATTTAAGTAATAAGTGCTTTTTAAGGAAGTTTTCTGATGAAATCTGTGAGTAGTGAATTTAGGGAGCCTTATTATCCATTTTTATGTACTTGTTTTGGTTTTGGGAACACACCAGTGATGCTTCAGGCTCACTTCAGCTGTGCATGCAGGGATCACTCTTGGTGGTGATGGGGATCTGTCTCTGGTGCCCCCGTTGAATCGGGTTATCTGTGTGCAAGGCAGGCATCCTGCCCACAGTAAGATCTCTCTACCTCCAACGATACCTTTTTAAACTTTCTAAAAAATATGTAGATATTGAACGGAACTTTGTGTTGAGCATGTAGTCTCCTGAATATTGTAATTTCGATATTTTCCCCAAGTGTCAATGGGTGCTTTATTAGCTGAGGACAAACCAGCATCACTGCCTACCACCGTCCCACTCTGCACTGGCTCGCCCAAGGGCTGTTAAGCAGCTCAGCGTTCTTTTCAAGATTAGTTCTGGAGCTGGGTTGTTTCATTCTTACTTTGTTATTTTTTAGAATAAATTTTCTACAGAGATGCTTTTTAAAAGAAAAACTGGCTTCTGGACATCTTGCTCAATGAACAATAGGACTCAACTTGAAATTTTTTTTGGGGGGGTGGGGGCCCACACCTCCTGGTGCTCACAGTTTTTTCCTGGATCTGCACTCGGGAATCATTGCTGGCAAGGCTCAGGGGACCACCTGGGAGGGTTGGCTACATGCAAAGCAAGTACCCTATCCACTA